TGGTGGTGGTGGTGGTGGTGGTGGTTGAACTCCCTAGAGATTTCTAATATGCAGCCAAGGTTGAGAGACTGGGAACTGGAGCGTAATAAGAGGAAGCCTCAGTCCTGGCTGAGACCTGGGGCCTCAGAGAGCATCCATGGGCCAGGACTTAAGGTATTGAACTGGCCAAACGGAGATGTGAGGGAAGGGGGTCTGTCTTCCCACCTTCCCCGTGGAGACCCTTGTCAGCTCTCTTCAGCCTTGTGACCCCTGGGCTTCCCTCCAGGCCCCTGCCCTGATTCCCCATGCCACCCACATTTATCCCACTGATCGTTACCAATTTAAATAGTTGGCCCTCGGGTCTCCAAAAAGAAATTCTGCTAGCATCATTTCAAATTTGTTGTTATTATGTGTTCTCTTCTTATCTGAGGTATTTTATATTGCATGTCATACAAACAGATTGTGGCCAGTATAAATCCAAAAGGGAATTGAGTGGAAAGGGGGGCGAGCACATACAGGGTTGTCTGGAAACTGAGAAGCCAGCTGGGAGAGACAGCAGTCCGCCAGCTTGGGCTCTCAGAGGGAGAAGCTGCTCAGCGGGCCAGGGCCCTGCCCCTGGGCTGAATGAGTCCATGGCCCAGCCTCTCTTGAGCAAGAGTCAGGAGACTGTGGTAGACTTGTACCATTGTTCTCAATGATCCACTCCATGCCCACTGAGAGGGTTATACACCCACCCTCCCGAGGGTCAGAATTGGCTTATGGAACGTGAGTGGACACCGCCTGTGCCCGATCTGAGCAGAAGTTTTAAATGCACCCGAGTGGTTCAGGTTAGCTTCCCGTTCACTCTGCCAGGAGAACAGTATTTCCCAGACAGGGGCCATGCCTGGCTGAGAGTTGAGCAGGGTCAAAGCCAGCCCTCATGCCCACGAGCCAAAAACAAAACAAAACAAAAACAGGGGCGCCTGGGTGTCTTGGTCAGTTAAGCGGTTGACTCTTGATTTCGGCTCAGGTCACGATCTCGGGGTCCGGGGATCGAGCCCCGCATCAAGCTACATCCTTAGTGGAGTGTCCGCTTGAGATTCTCTCTCCCTCTCCCTTTGCCCCTCCTCTTGCTCGTGCTGTCTCTCTCTTTCAAAGAAATAAATCTTAAAAAACAAACAAACAAACAAACCCTGAGATTTGGGGGCTGTTTGTTACCACAGCAAAGCTGACCGATCCAGAGAAAGAGTCCAAGCTTGGGTCTTATGCCCTCCCCTTGGCTGAGCCCCAGGATGGAGAGCAAGAGCCTGTGGGAGGAGGCACGGGGCCCTCAGCCTCACGTGGGAGACAGAGCTTGGGCCCGCCGCAGGCTGCACACATAAATGGGTTGTTACAGAAGAGAAACCCAGCGTGCTGCTGGGCTGGAGGGCGAGCAGCCCACAGTTGGCCGCCACACCGATCGTTCTGGTAGCCAAAGCCCAAGGCAGCGAGTCCTCGCCTTCCACCATCCCGGCCCCTTGGATGTCTTCCTCTCCCGTGAGCTCCATGTTTGAAGGGTTTTGCCAGCAAACACAAGTAACTACATGTATTAATGCCTTACTGTGTTGTGTTGGTGTTAGTTCAGAAGGCCGCTGCTCGGAGAAGTTCCAGGGCAGCTGAAAAGCAAGAGAACTCAGCCTTTCCGGGGCACGTGTGCAGCCTTTCTGCAAGACCAGAACTAGCTTCGGGAACGCATGCTGCAGCTTGCCAGGCCGCTGGATATCCGGGCCCCCAGGTGGCAACTGGCAGCCTCATCCGCTCCCTCTCCGGAGAGTGTGTCCTTCCAGCTGCCGCCGCTGGAAGCCACAAATGTCCCAAGCACCGCAGGAACTGGCCCCCGGGGGCATTTCGGGCACCACGCAGGCTGGCACAGCGGGGGCTGGTGGCCCTCTCTGGGGAGGCCCCGTGGGTGAGGCTGCTCCACCCACTGATCAGCCCTGACTTCGAATAAACTGAGTTCCTTATGAGAACCGAGGGCTTCGATGCGACCCCCACGGCCAGGATGCTTTCTGCTGGAAAGAGGGGGGCCACATCCCCTAAACTCTCTGTGCCTCACTCTCCTTGTCCGTCAAATGGGGTGATGAAAAAGGCCCCAGCCACCGGGTTGCTGGGGGAGCTCGGAGGGCCCGCCCCTGCCAGGCGCCACGCGCTAGTTAGCCCTTGACCTCCCCCGCCGTGTCCCTAGTCCTCACCACTGACGCAGGAGGAACGTCCAAAAAGTGCGCTGGGGAGGCGGCGGCAAGGATGAGAGCAGCCATGCGGGTTAAATGACCGTTGTCAGCTTTGAGTGGGAGATCGGAAGTGCTCACTGACCACAGGGCCTAGCATGGACCAGGCATCCCATAGACATCCAGTATCTAGCTGCAGCAAAATCTTCCTAAATAAATGGATGGATAGACGGATGATGCCTGCTCTCAGCTCCCCCTCCCAAATGTCTCTAAGCCCCTGTTCCCTAACGTATAAGTGTAATACAAGGATCTACCTTCCAGAATTATTGTGGGAACTAAATGAATTAATACATGTCTGGCACATAGTAGGTACATAACAAATATCAGTTATAATTATCATCATCATCATTTCCCTCTGGAGCCTCAGTTTTCTCATCTGTGAAATGGGAATTCGTTTATTCAACAAGCTGCTGGTCATCATCCATGTGCCAGGTATTATGGTTAAGATCTGGGGCAAGTACAGAGATGAATGGGCCATGGTCTCTGCCTGGAGGAATCCACCTTCTGATGTGGCAGGCAGTCAAGTGTTAAAACCCAGTGGGAGGAGAGCCACGGTGTACCGAAAGTCTGCGTACAGATGTGAGGTGGTCAGCAGCTACCTCCGGAGTTGGGCTAATTGAGGTGAGGGATGTTAGCTGACTCCATGCCCTCTGATCTTTCCAGTATGTTGAGTTGGCATGAAAACATTAGGGATGGGCTCTAGTTGTTGACCCAAGTCAGACAGAAGATTTAGAGTAGGTAGATAGATAAAAGTTAAAGGTCAAGGAAGAAAGAACCAACTTGTATTCAGGTGTTTTTCTCCTAAAATATCATCTTCATTTTAAAAAATTATGTGACATCATTATAAATCTAATCTTTAGACTTTTATCTTTTTTGAAAAATGAGTGAAATTTTCATTTTAATGGCAGTTAATGTTATGAGCAGCCAAGTTACACCACCACCTGATGGCAGCATACTGAAATCCCAGGTTTGTTTCGTTTGCCATGAACAAAACACCGCAAGCTCAATTTTTGGACCTGGCTAGAGATATCAAAGCCATTCCCCACTCTCCCCTCCTCCCTACCCTTTTGCTACAACCCACCCTCCACAGTTGAAGCTCCCAAGCTCCCAGCTTTTGGCCTGAGCCGTGCCTGCTCCAGTTTCCCAGCAAGGAAGTCCGCCTGCCCCTCCTCCCTGTATCTTGCTCTCGGGCAGCCCTAGGCAGCCTCAGGCCTGCCATATGCCCTTCAGCTGCACATTGGTGCTAACACCTCCCCAAGCCCTCAGCCCTGCCCCCAAGGGGAAAGTGGGACTAGGGAGAGAACCTAGCCCAATGGTACCAGTTAAGAGTACAGATGCTACAGACTGATGTGGGTCCAAATCCCTGCTGACCACTTGCTGGTTGTGGGTCTGTGGCCCTCTCTAAGGCCTCTATGAGCCTCACTTTCCCATCAGAGAAATGGGATGGAGTCTGGATTCAAGAGACTTCTTATTCTTTCTACTCTATGTCTTTCTCCTCCTCCTCATACAGAGCTGCAGTGAGCGGAGACCAAGAAATGAGGGGAGGAACAGGTGGAGAGGAGCAGAGAGGCAGAATGCCCCCGCATTGCGCTCCCACCTCTTGGGGCCCCTCTCCAAAAATGGCCAAGCCCTCGCTGCCTGGAGCTCCCTCCCAGGCTCTCCTCCTCACTGTAGTCCATCCACTTGCTCCTCCAGCCTCTTCCCGAGCCTGGTTCCTGACGCCCTGCACCATCTCATAATCCGCTTGGGTCTAAAGGGGCAGTGACTGAGCACAGGGCCATTGGCCCCTCCTTGGCGTCCAGAGAGGGCAATGTTTCACCCTCTCAAATGGCTCAAGAGCACTTGGGAAGGGAAGAGGTTCAGAGCTGGGCTTCCCCAGTCTTGGCAGCCTGAGAGCCCTGTCCTGCAGCTTAGGAAACCGGCCTTCCGGCCTGTTGCTAATGCTGCCTGGATCCTGTCCTGTGGCCTTGAACGAGTCGCTTACTCCCGTGACCTTCGAATCCCCCATTGGTAAAAGAGAGCTCTCCAATCCACTCCAGCTCCCACGACGTGGCTGCCAGGGCCGCTGAAGAGGTGGGCAGGATTGGGGAGGGGTCCTCTCCCCTCCGTGCCTCCTTGGGGAGCCCCAGGACCCTGCTTAGAGGGGGAGGCTGTTCCCCTGGGGAAGTAAGTCCCGGGGCAACTCTGTGATGCTCCCCACACTCGCTGTGAGCAGCAGTGCTAAGTGCTGTATTAATTATTACCCACGCCCCCTGGGAAGCAAATTCAAAGTGAGGTCACCATGGTAACCTAGACGGTGGCAATGTCATCAAATATTTTAAGTGCTCAACGTGTTCCAGGCAAATTACCTTCCAGTGGAAGAGAAAAGAATGGGGCCTCAATCCCACACTTCAGCGGCCTGGGGAAGAAAAGCCCAGGAGCTCTGGTGGGGGCTCCCTCCTTTCTTCAGGAGGGAGCAAGGTGGGGGCAGGGCTAGCCGATTAGACACCCTGCCTTGCGAGGCCAGAGCAGAGCTGCAGATGACATCCAGGGTTCTAAATAAGGCCTGGCCGGAGAGCCAGAGGCCCTGGGTGGCAGTCCCAGCTCCGGTCCCATCTTGTCTGCAGCCCCGGGCTGGTGCTTTGACCCCTGTGGGCCTCCGGGAAAGCTTCATCCAGCAGCATCTCTTAAAGGACCAAAGAGGAGCCAGTGGGTCATTAACCTCACTTGTTGGGGGTGGAGGTTCAAAGGGGGGGGTGACTGGGTGTTTTGCTAGTCAGACCTTCAAGGCAGAGAGACTTGGATTCAAATCCCACCTCTGCCACCCAGCAACTGTGTGACTTGGGCCAGTGACTTCACCCCTCTGAGCTCCGGCTTCCTTACCTATGAGAGGAGGCTTGACAATAGTCCCTGCCCCTCGGTGTGACTGCAAAGTGTAAGTTAAGACAAGCATGGAAAGTGCTCAGGACAACACCCTGCACAGCGGAGGTACCAGTGTCCGCGCTGTTGCTGCCGCTTACTAAGTATCCATGTGCCCGGCTCTGAGGTGAGCAAGTTACACAGGATCTACCATCAAATCCTCACCACGTTGCTCCCACGAGACGGGTGTTATTATTAACCACATTTCACCCACGTGGAAGCTAAGGTTAGCCAGGGGAGGAGGTAGACGGACGCCCACGGGGTGGAGCCTGCATTCTGACCCAGGTCCCTCGGCCTCCAGAACTCAAGCCCTCACCCCTCCCCACATGGCCTGAGGATGAAACGGGTCATATGTTGAGTGCCCAGCACAAGTGTGTTGCACACAGCAGGTGCTCACTAGATAGTGAAGTAGTGGGCCCCCGTGGGCACATCCACGTTTATGTCACGGCCACCATTTTGCCCTTGACTCCTATCTTCTGGGGTTTGGGATCCTGGGTCTGCGGGGCTCAGGCAGTGAGGGGGAATTAATTAGAGGCAGGGACCCCCAAGAAGGCCCCCTCTTCAGGTCGCTGCCTGAGGGGGTTGCCAGTGGCCATCTGCATTACAGCGGTTCTGCCTGTCCCTGGGCCCCTGGCTGTCCTCACACTGTCTGGACACAGACAGCCAGGAGCTGTCTCTGACCTCCTCCTGCCCCGGCTACTCTGGCCTTGCAGGCCCCCACCTACCCTTTCCTGCTGGGTCAGCATCCCACCCCACCCTCCCCTCACAGCCGCCCCCGGGCAAAACTGGCTTTCCCAGGACAGAATGAGGTCAGGCCTGCAGAGTGATCGATGGATTTAATAACTGGCCATTCCTACCACCAGTCCATTTGCCCTTCACAGTCCCAGGCCCATGTAGGGGCCAGAGGCAGCGTCATCCCCCAGGGGAGAGGAGTCAGAGGGGTAGAGACCACCCTTCCAGCCAGCTCAGGGCCCTCCAGGAGCCCGGAGCAGCTCAAAGCTAACACCTTGAACATGGACACCCTCGTTTTAGCCCTTCTCCTTGATGGTGGTCTGTCCTTGAGCAAATCACTTCTCTTCTCTGAGCCTCAGTGTCTCCGTCTGCAAAATGGAGTGGATAATCCCCGTTGTTTGCCTCTTGGGGTTTCTGTAGGGATGGAGCCAGCAGCAGATGTGATCTCACTGTGTAAACCTCCATGCACATAGAGAGTTGATTCCAGTTATCGATCATCTTGGCTGCCCTCTGGATTGGGCTCCCCCAGAAGCAGACCCTGAGATAAGGATGGGAGAAGTTTCTTTGGGTGGTGATCCCAAGAAGCATTGGTAGGGAAGAGGGAAACTGAGGCAGGGAAGGAAGAATCCAAGTCAGGATACGCTAGTGAACAGGCTGCGGGGGGGACAGGTGAGGCTCAGCCCCTCTGGAGACTTCCAGGAGACAGGGTAGAATGGGCCTCAGATGTGTCCTAATAAAGAGGTGAGAAGGCTGGGCTCTTTGCCCACCAGCTCCCATCCACGCTTGGCTGAGGACTGCTCCCAAAGACATTAAGGTCCCAGCACTCCCAGCCTGCCCTGTGTCAGCGAACCGGCCCTGTGTTGGCGAGCGTGCCCTCCGGCCAGGGAAAGCTCCCAGAGGGTCACAGGTACTTCTCGGAGGCTGTCCTGTGCACGGGAATGGTGATCCTGAGGAGATGCCGGCAGGACTCCACATACGTGACCTCATTCATTGTTGTCCGCAAGCAGCCTTGTGAAGGGCATATGATCAGTAGCCCCATTATGCAGTTGAG